GTCCCCCGGGCGGAACGACCTCTGGGCTGAAGGGATTTGATTTTGCTAGGGGAACGGGTCGTGGAGAAAGAAGGAACTAATTATTCTACAAGGTACTGCTGCTTGTGCTTGTTCAACTGCTTGTGCTTGTTCATCTGCATCCTGTGTTTCTCCCCTCGCCTGGCCTTTCTTTGAGTTTGCTTCATTTCTTTAGGTTGGCTGTCTAGTTTGCAATGTGTGCTGCATGAAGGCTGTAGTATATATTCTGAAGGCTAAAAATGTATTATTTTCCTTTCCGAGATAGCTTCCCACATAATACGGTAGTGCTATTTCGTTTAAGGCAGTGAAGCGACCGTAAGACAAAGGAGTGCAGAAGTCTACTTTAGTACGAAAACGTTTATGACGCATCCTCCTGCCCTGTTGGTTGGTCTCTCAACACCTTGAAGATGGCACACAGCCGCGAAGGCTTGAAGATCTGAAAAAGGGATAAAACAGAAAGAAAAAAGGTGTCTGGTTTGGACCTGCAGTCTAGAAAATGGTCACAATCAGAGAACTTGGAAGCCCTAAGACCTCACAGAGTGACGTGGGTGCAGAGTGACGTGGGTACAGAGTGGCATGGGTAGCTGAACATTCAGAAGTTAGGCAGCACAGTTAGAATGATGTAGCTGAACCCACCTCCCCTGGCTGACTCAGAATCTTGACTTCCTTGATTGACCCAACCCTCCAATAACCCAAACCTCTGACACACCTGTGCTTTGAGCAGGAAGCTGGGCGGCTCTTCATGGTGATCCAGCTCTCCTCATCCTCATTGTACTTCTCCAACTCCTTTTCACATCCTCCTCTTCTCACAAGCAAGCCACATGGCGCTGACAGCCCTATGGCGCTGACAATAAGCACTCACTCCCTGTGAGTCCCTGGCGCACCTGTGCTTTGAACATGAAGTTGGGCGGCACATTGATGATGATGTAGTTGTCCTTGTCCTCATTGTACTTCTCCAACTCCTGTGGCAGCAAGGTTGGGGGTACAGAGTCAAGGCAGAGAGGAAGCGTTGGCAGGAGGGTTGACAGGCTCGCTGGTAAGGCGCGTTGATGATGATGCAGTTGTCCTTGTCCTCATTGTATTTCTCCAGATCCTGGGGCATAAAGGTTGGGGATAAGGAGTCACGGCATGGAGAGAATGGAGGCTTGCTGGCACCGCACATTGATGATTGAGGTACTTACCCAAAACCTGAGTCCGTGAGGTTGAGGGTGAAGGTAAGGTATGAACCCCTGTTGGCCATGAAAGCAGGTAGCCCATGCAGCCATGCACCCATGCAACCATGCAGCCTGAAGCCAAGTACCCATGCACCCATGCAGCCACGCAGCCATGCACCCATGCACCCCTGGGCCTCTTCCTTTCAAAGTATGAATTCTAGAGGCCTCACATCACATGCAGCGTCACAAAGCGCATGGTGGGGTTCCACAAGCAGTAGAGAAACAACTTACCTGTGTTGACCCTTGCTCAACTGTTTTGACCTCTGTTGACCTCTGTTGACCTGTCGCCTGTCATGACCTCTGTTGACCTGTCGTGACCTCTGTTGACCTGTCGTCTGTCATGACCTCTGTTGACCTGTCGTGACCTCTGTTGACCTGTCGCCTGTCATGACCTCTGTTGACCTGTCTTGACCACAGTTGACCTCTGCTCTTGACTGTGCCATTAAATTTCTCAACGGTGATTTGCTGAAGCGCGTGGTGGGGCTCCATGGCACGGGCGAGAAGAGCTCACCTCACGTCTGTTGACCTGCGTTGACCCTTGTTGACCTAAGTTGACCTATGATCTCCGGAACTCATCTGTGGCATACCGAAGCGCCACGTGGGGCTCCACGGCACAGGCGTGAAGAGCTCGCCGGTGACTTTGTTAGTATGCGTTGACCACCATTGACCTAGGTTGACCTGCGTTGACCAATGTTCTCACGCACATACCTGAGGCATGCCGAAGCGCGTCGTGGGGCTCCACGGCACGGGCGTGAAGAGCTCGCCAGTGAACTCCGTCCCCGTGATGCCAGCTGGCACGCCAGGCTGGGTCGCCACCTGGACGAACGGGATTGGCGGGAGGAGGTACGTCCGGGAATCCCAGGGAAAGTAAGATTCGAGTGGCATGCTTGAGACAGAAAGGGGATGTAGTTGTTTGTTTCGGCCGTTCGCTGCTCAGAAGATGCAGAGAAAAATGGGAGCTTTGAGATTGCCACAGGTGGTAGCAGTGGACTGAGAGGCATGAAACCATCTTCCCTTGAAAATCTTATCGCCCGCCCAGTGCTCTCTCTCTCAGTGTTTACTTGCTCCTGGTGCAGCGAGACTTCCAGTATTAGCAGCAGCAGCGACCAGCCGACAGAGCGCCCTCCTTGCATCAATAGTGCAATCTAAGATGGCATTCACAGCAAGTTCCCCCAAGCGAAGTTCCCCCAAGAGACCCAAAAGTGCAGATATTTGGGTCCAGCGTGGCAGTTTTGCAACTGACCACACCCACTCCACGTGCCATGCGAATGTGGATACACAGACTGACGAGTTTGAGCGAAGTATCGAACCCAATCACGTGCATGTAACCCCAGCAGCTTCAAGATCGTTCTGAACAAATTTTCGTGTAGCAACCCCAAACACGTGCTTCACAAATGTCTGTGCACTGTTGTTGAGCGAACTTCGAGTTGGGGGAACTTGCTGTGAACGCCATCTAATATTGCATTCTATACTAGTGCAACACTCACGGCCCCCGCCGATCTGCTACAGCCTAGTCGGCGGCAACGCGCCTGCTGCATGAAAGATTTCGGGCGAGAGCAGAAAGGCAAGCGCCTCCTTGGCCTGCCGTCATTTGTCTTCTGAGTCGACTCACAAGTCAGAAGGTCGCGAAAGGGTGGCGAAACGCACCTGCTGCAGGAAAACGTCGGACGAGAGCAGATAGACGAGCACCTCCTTGGCCTGCCGGCGGAACGACGCGCGCATGCACGGGGGATGGGCGCACGGGGTATGGGCGCACGGAAGATGGGCGCACGGGAAATGGGCACACGGGGGATGGGCACACGGGGGATGGGCGCAAGGGGATGGGCGCACGGGGGATGGGGGAATGATATGCATGGGAGCATGCGAATGGGAACATGGCATGTAATGGGGGTAGACACACTCAACAACATGGGGTGCTAGACAGATGGTACCACCATGGACATAGACAGGCGGTAACACGGGGATCCGTACGTAGCCACATGAAAAGTCCATACATAGTCACTTTCTGGATTCGCGCAAGTAATCAGAACGGGATTGGACTACAGCGGCATTGAAAGACGGAATGCAAGAGGAAATGAACAGCGTCTTTCGGGTTTATTTGAAAGTGCACGAGAAGCGCATGAGGTCGGGGAAACTAAGGGCGATGTGATATTTTTGAGTCGGTCAAAGGTCGGAGAACCCACATGTCGAAAGAACGTCTCGGAGTGTGATGGTATGGATTCAGGCGCGAACTGGCCAACATGGGAGACTCTGGATACTGATGGGCTAGGTTATGACTCGGTGCTATAGCTTGGTGTGACGTAATCGGGCTCACCTGAGGGTCCAACTCAAAGCTTGTATCGAAGCTCTCAACAGCGCGGATGCCTTGTACGACGTGCGAGCATCGCAGAATTCTGCTGCTGACGGTCGATCGTGCGAAGGACGACGCTGATTGGTTGACGGAAGGCGTGAGCGGTCTAGCGGAAGCGACGATAGGCGAGGCGAACGGACGTCGAGACGACGACGAGGAGGAGGATGAGAATGTGGACGAAGGAGACGCTAGCAGCGATTCGCCGAGAAGCGAGGACGCGAGAAGTGACTGGGTCATGGTCAAGCGCGAGACAAGGGACAAGCTTTAATCTGCAAGGGTATGTACAGAAATTACTACGGTATTCACACTTGACGTGGTCGCGCGTGCAGCTCCAGTGTCTGGTTGATAAATCTGATAGTGAAGAAACTGCGCGAAGAAATGGCTTGAGGGCCAATCACAGTCAGCTTTGAGAATGTGTAGGAAGGAATTCTGGTGCATATGCGTGATCAGATCAGACCATAGGATAGAATATGGGAAGAAAGTCAGGGCCAGGCGTATTCGGATCATTGTGATTTGTTCACCGCATTTTCTGGTACGATTGAAATGTCAAGATGGGAAGAGCTCGTGTTCAATTATATTCGACATTTATCTCCAATGCTGACTGAAATTGTGCGACGGGATGACACCAGAACCGGGCCTTTTAGTCAATCTCGCATCTGGTACTCACAAAAATTCAGCAGCAATGCTATCTGACTATGTTTTGAGCATATTGAACGCGTCATGAAAGACTTGAGAGAGCGAGTGCATTCACCGCAGCCAGCGGAATCTCCACAATCCGCTTGGGCAAAGGTCTGCGAGGAGTCCGCACACACGTGGCAATTCTGTGGTTTGAAACACGCACTGCACAAAGGTTCTCGTAAACCCGATAAGGGGAAACCCATATATACGTAGGACAAAGCATGTAAAATTCGTAGTGCGTTAATATATATTTAGAAATTCTAAATCAAAAGGAAGGCCATTGCAAACACCACAATGCTAAGTAGCGCTTGCCCATTCGCATTGAATACTGGAAATGGAGGGATGGTGGATAAGAAAATTGGGGGGAAAAAGAGGGGCAAGCATAATTTATTACGTCATTTGTAGTAGACATGAGACAATCGAGAATTCACATGCAGACAAGACATGCAAGAAAAATATGCAATCAGTAGAATACTCTCATTCAATATTTCAATGTGCGCGCCTCTCACCCTCGACCATTTATATGTTCAACCCCCTGCAAACTGACCATCCCTCCTCACTCTCCCTCTCTGTCCCTCTCCCTCCCCCTTTCCCCTGCTCCCATCCCTACCAGAATACCTCTCTGCCAGGATTGGCACAAGGAACAGAACATGGTCAGCCCCTTCCATGCCAGCCTACCATCCCTCTCCCACATCCTCTTCACCACCCCCCTTCAACAGGACTACCCACTGTCGATGTGCCTACCTCTCCTCCCCTGTAGGGAGAACCAGCACATGGTCAGCGCCTTGCACGGCCAGCCTGCCATCAGCAACGGCATCCGTGAGGGCGGGCAGGACAGTGGCAGCTGCCGTGTCAGAGTAGGCCGTGTAGGGGCTGTCCCCGCCACTGCCACTGCCAATGCCAATGCCACTGGCCTTACAGACCAACCCCCTCAACCCACTGTCTCTCCGTGCCCCCACTGTCCCACATCCTACACCCTGCCTACCTCGTCCCACAGCATTGGCAGGCCCAGTGGGCGGCAGCAGCACGTGGTCAGCGCCTTGCACGGAAATCCGCCCATCAGCAACGGCATCTTTGAGGGCGGGCAGCACAGTGGCGGCGGCCGTGACAGAGTAGGCCGTGTAGGGGCTGTCCCGCACAGGCGTGTTGGCGTTGGCTGGCACGCGGAAAACGAGCGACTTGTCCGACTCTATGTGGATCTGAATGGTTAGATTTGTGTTTACTGAGTATATGTGCCCGTGCTGAGGCGCCTGTGGGGATAAATGGGGGGTGGGGGAAGGGACGGGGTGGGGCAGGAGGGGGGATTTGGATTGACTTGTTGGATTCTATGTGGATCTGAATGGTCTGATTCGTGCCCACTGCATACACGTGCCCATGCTGTGGCACCTGTGGGTTTAGAGAAAGAGCAGGGGGGGTAGAGGGAAGGGAGCAGAGAGAGAGAGGATGGCTGGTTCGTGCCCACTGCGTACATGTGGTGTACACGTGCCCGTGCTGGGGGGCCTGTGGCAGGAAAGGGAAGGGGGAAGGGTAGGTAGGGAGAAAGGAGCAGCAGAGAGAGCGAGTGGTGTGGTTTGTTCCCACTGGCATACATGTGCCCGTGTTGGGGGGGCTGTGGGAAGGAGAGGGGGAGGGGGTTGGGTGGGAAAGGGATGAGGGGGAAGCGTGGGGGCTTTTGAGTACTCAAAGTCAACTCTGCGCATATGTGGATGGGGAATGATGTGGAGAAGCGTAGGGGAGAGTGAGAGAGGGAGAGAAAAAGGGAGGGGGTAAGGACGAGGGGGAAACAATAAAAGTAGAAATAACAAAAGCAAGGATACTTATTAGTAGCGGGAATAGTAAAGTGGTAGTAGTGACAAAACTCTTTAAAAAACAAACAAAGAAACAAAACACTGCTTCTGGCGTTGGATGAATCCATGCCCTCGAGCTACCTCTCCAGGTAGCATGCACTCATAAGGTGCAGCAGGTGCAGCAGCAGCAGCGGCAGCGGCAGCGGCAGTGGCCGCGGGAGCAGGAGCGGCGGCGGCGGCGGCGGCGGCAGCAGCAGCAGCAGCAGCAGCAGCGGCAGCAGCAGCGGCGGCAGCAGCGGCGGCGGCGGCAGCAGCAGCAGCAGCAGCAGCAGCGGTGGCAGCAACAGCGGCGGCGGCAGCAGCAGCAGCAGCAGCAGCAGCAGCAACGCGCCCCTCAGCAGCGCAGGCATACCTTGTATGCTAGTGCAAGCGATTGAAAGCTCTCAATGCACCGGGTTGCTTGCATTGGGGGACGCCATTTCCTCCAGCTGCGCCTCCAAATGGTAGGCGTCAGTGACGTGCAGCAGCAGCACGTCCCGCAGGGCGGCCTTACCCTCGGGAGACAGGGCATCCAGGCTGAGAGGAGCGGAGAGGTTGCTGAAGGTGCGGGTGATGTTGGGGGGCTGGCGGAGGAAGGGGTGGTGATGCTGCTGGCTGCTGCTACGAGGGCGGCTGCGGTGACGCTTGGATAGCCCACAAAGACGTCTGTAGGGGAGGGAGAACGGAGGGAGGACATTGGGGGAAGGAGGACTTGAGGGAGAGGAGAGGGGGGAGAGAGGTGAGGGGGAAGAGCGTTTGCTGCCACTCGCCCCCACTGGCAGGGGATGGGGGGAGCGGCGGAACTGGGGGGGTGGTTACCTGGCCACGTCCCTGCGGGTTGCTTCACGTTGGCGCTACTCATACCTGGCCACGCCCCCCCAGGTTGCTTCGCGTTGGCTCGCCCCAACACGTCGATGAATTGCTGTCACGCGTAGTTAGACCGCGAGCACAAAGTGTGGCACACTGTCCACTCCTACTACTATCTCCCCATGTCGCTGCTGTTTGGTGCTGGGGGTACGTTACCCGGCCACGTCCCCGCGGGTTGCTTCGCGCTGGCTCGCTCCAACACGTTGAAGAACTCCTGCCACGCCAAGTTACTCGGCGCGCATCTACTCCCCATCTCATCTCCCCATGTCGCTGCTGTATCGCGCTGGGGGTTCGTTACCTGGTGCTGTATGGTTGCTTCGCGATGGCTCGCTCTAGCATGTCGAATAACTGCCAGTGCTGGCGGCGGGTTGCTTCACGTTGGCTCTACTCATACCTGGCCATGTCCCCGCGGGTTACTTCGCGTTGGCTCTACTCATACCTGGCCACGTCCCCGCGGGTTCCTTCGCGTTGGCTCTACTCATACCTGGCCACGTCCCCGCGGGTTACTTCACGTTGGCGCTACTCATACCTGGCCACGCCCCCCCAGGTTGCTTCGCGTTGGCTCGCCCCAACACGTCGATGAATTGCTGTCACGCGTAGTTAGACCGCGAGCACACAGTGTGGCACACTGTCCACTCCTACTACTATCTCCCCATGTCGCTGCTGTTTGGTGCTGGGGGTACGTTACCCGGCCACGTCCCCGCGGGTTGCTTCGCGTTGGCTCGCTCCAACACGTTGAAGAACTCCTGCCACACCAAGTTACTCGGCGCGCATCTACTCCCCATCTCATCTCCCCATGTCGCTGCTGTATCGCGCTGGGGGTTCGTTACCTGGTGCTGTATGGTTGCTTCGTGTTGGCTCGCTCTAGCATGTCGAATAACTGCCAGTGCTGGCGGCGGGTTGCTTCGCGTTGGCTCTACTCATACCTGGCCATGTCCCCGCGGGTTACTTCGCGTTGGCTCTACTCATACCTGGCCACGTCCCCGCAGGTTCCTTCGCGTTGGCTCTACTCATACCTGGCCACGTCCCCGCGGGTTACTTCGCGTTGGCTCTACTCATACCTGGCCACGTCCCCGCGGGTTCCTTCGCGTTGGCTCTACTCATACCTGGCCACGTCCCCGCGGGTTGCTTCGCGTTGGCTCTACTCATACCTGGCCACGTCCCCGCGGGTTGCTTCGCATTGGCGCGCTCCAGCATGTCGAAGAACTGCTACCACGCGTAGTTGGTCGGCGCCACCAGCAGCGCGCCGAGCCCCGAGTTCCGCGCGTTAATCACCTCCTGGTCCACGCCCGTGTCGCGCAGCAGGCTCGCTGTCCACGCTAGCGACGCCACTGACGCGTTCGCGCCGCCGCCGGCGCCCGCGGCGAGTCCGGCGGAGGCACGAAGCAACGCGTTATAAAGTGCCTCGGTAGAGTCTACTGCGGCTGGAGCTGGAGGGTTCGCAGCGGCGGAGACGGTAAGAGGGGGTAACCCAGAAAGGAAAAGCGACGCGAGGAGGAGCGGGAGCACTAAGGTGACTAATCTAGAAACTACACGGCGATTGGTATTGTAACCTGTGGTGCTCGTTAGAGCTTTGTTTCTACTTGTAGTAGAACTAGTACGACAATGGGTCGACTTGGAGTGAACGGATAACGGGTCATCTACTAGAGCGGTTTTTTGGGTTGGGAGTACAGCATGGGCAGACTTGGCCGCGTCACGGACAGCAGTGGTGGAGCCGTCAATAAGTAAGGGAGCCATCGTCATGACGAGCCACGGAAGCAGATATAGTACTGTTGCCCAGTGGTACGACCATATGCGAGTTTGACAGTATGGGAAGGATGGCGTTGCGAGGAGCGTCAAACGCTCGGACGTGGCAACATTTGAGGCGCTATAAGCCGTCTAATTTGTAAGAGTCTGTTTTTTGGCGACTTTTTTAAAGGCGATGTCTACTATATGCTTAGATGATTATACTCGAGGCCTGTAATCAAAGGCGCCTATTTGAAACGTCTTATCAAGGCGTCTTTTTCGATGCGCCTGAAAAATCCGACTCGAAGAGGCGGAGGGGTCGGACTTTATACGCCTTTCAACGTGAGGGTGTGACGCGGGACCTCGAGCTCCAGGGAGTTGTCGTTCTAAAACAATTAATTACTTCCGCTCAAGGTTCGCCGGAGATGCTTCCTGAATGCAAGGCGAGGAGATGTGCTGAACCGCTTTTGAGTCAAATTGGAACGCCCAGTTCTACGGCCTGTGGCGAATTCTTTCGTCCTTATAGGGTTCACCCCGCTATTGTGTCTGGATCTCTTGGTTGTCAGTCAGTCACTACCTCCCTTGGTTACTCCGAGTCATTCCTTCGGCTGCAGAAACCGTGGCTGAGCTCATCAGCAACAAAAGAGGTGATCTCATCGTGGGCGTGCTCAAATATCGAAAATCACGATTCGATTAGACGTACCATGTTCTCAACAGGTCCATCAAAATAGCATTTTAAGCATTGTGTTTTAGAAATATCACACACAGGTTTCTGACACCAGCTCCCGAGGGTGGCACTTCATTCTGCAATCATCCAAATACTCTCACCGCACCAGCCAAACCGGGTGGAAACAGATGGACAGCGGGCACGTGGTCCACGTTCTACAGTTTTGAGGGCAACATTCTCCACGTGTATATGTATTCTCGGATCTAAACCGTCCAAGTCTGTGCTAGAGGCATATTGAATTCAACGATTGGTTGATATTATTCCTCCCCACATCCAGCCGTAGAGAAAATCGAGGTCAGAGTAGGGCTAGGTAGGTTCGTTCGGGTCTGGGCTGTACACACGAACAAACCACACATTGACCGTCAGTTGCATCCACACACGACCCATCCCTCCCATGTTGAGGGGGTAGCGGTGCCGTGCGGTGCGGCTTGCCTAATGGTAGTACAGTATTGCTGTGCACGGCTGGAAGGAAGTCAAACAAGAGACCTTTCCGATACTAGACACTCGGTTGCGTGTATAACTTCTGTAAATAAAGGAGGGTGCACTGTTAGCTGTTATCAAATGTATCCCTTGCACTGCATCCATCGCGTTCAGTGCACCTTCACCGAGGTCCTCCAAAAACCATTAATACTTATACCGTACCTGGCAAATTATTTTGGAAAATGAGATAACGAAACAGGGGAAATGGGAATGAGGAAGTGGGAGGGTGGGAGAAGATGGAAAACTTAGGGGTATCTCGTGTCGTGCTAGCCCCCTGGCCTTGGGTTTAGGAAAAGCATGGAGTTGCACAGATGAGAGAAGCGGAGTAGGGGTCATGACTCATGGACTTCTGCTGATATCAATATGATAATTTTTAAACACACGAAGTGTTTTTCAAAATTACGTATTTCGAAAGCGCAGCTGCCTGTAACGCAGATTTGGCATCGTCGAAGCGCGCTAAACGCCCTTCTCCAACTACAAAACGTGGGTTGGAGCTCATTTCCCTCCACCCACGTCTCTCATTTTCCAACGGCTCATGCAACTCTCAGTTCCTCGAGCTCATTTCTAGTTTTCCGTTCAAGCTGGCTAGAACTCGCTCTCTACCGAGAGGCGTTTCACCTTCAACTTTATTAGCTGACATTCTCAACCACAACCGCTCGACTATGGCTGCTACGCCGACACTTAACCGCGCGAACAACACCGTCGTCAACGACTCGAATATTTCCGACACCGATCGTAACGCCCGGGAAATGTCGGGCGAGCGCCGCAACAAGCGCCGGGCAGACGGCGAAACGTCCGCCCCAACAGCTGTCGACGTGCTGCTGGGTGGGCTCGAGGTCAACAAAAACGCCGAGCGGCACCAGCAGCACCCTTCGGCGCCTGTGGCGCCTTTTGGCGCCTGTTGCGCCAGTGGCACCCGTGGCACCAGTGGCGAACGTGGCGCCACACGCGACTGACGCGGAGCACGCGCCTGAGGCACACGCGCCCCACAGGCAGTCGCGTCAGCGCCAGAGGCGCCGTACGGCCGCCTCGTCTGACGCGACCGTTGACACGGACTTGACCCAGACGTTGACCCCGGACCAAGTCAAGGCGCTCCTGTCCCTGTTACAGCATCGACCCGCCAGCGCAATTGAAGCCGAAACTACACAACCGGCGGCATCAATTTCGGCTAAAAACGAAAATTCGAAAAAGGAGAAGGGAGCGAAAGGAGCATCAACACGCCGCCACAACAAGGAGGTAGCTACCAGCGTTCCCGAAGCCGCAGCCAACGACCACGACTCCGACGACTCTGACGACGACGCTGGTGAGGCTCCGATCAACGCAGCAAATGTCACATCCATGGAAAATCTCCCCCCCCTTCCTTCCACCACCCCCACCTTTTCGGCGACAAACTTCATGAAGGCGTTCGTGCGCGCGAAGGCGGAGCCCCTGGAGGACGTGAGGGCCTACCTGAAACACGCGGAGTACAAGCTGCAGCACGACGACACGGCGGGCGGACTCGAAATGGTCATGAACGCCCTCGACTACATTTCGGAGCGTTTTGTGATGTTTCAAGTCGAGGACCACACTGACGACCGCGTGGCAAAGCGATTCAAGCTCTACCAACAGAAGAGTCTCCTGACTTCCCGCCCGTTCAAGCAGGCGGTAGCTGATGTGGCGGCTATGGATCGCGCGGAGGGCGCATACGCTCGTTCCCACCGCGTTGGAGGGCATGGGCCGACGGCATACACCCCAAAGCGTGGACCGCCGCCCACGGGTGGCTTCCATGGCTTCCGTGGGGCGTGCTTCCGTTGTGGCCAGCCGGGTCACGTGGCAAGCGGCTGCCCGAGGAACGGGAACGGTGGCCAAGGTCCCGCACCCGTGGTGTAGGGGCGGGCCTTGAGCGGTTGCGCCTTGTGCGCGTGGCACGGTGCACGTCATGTGCAAAATCCGTGGGCAACCCAAAGGGGTTAGCGATGGCGATTGGCCAGCCCTAGTGAGGGGTGATTGATAGGCTAGAGGCCTAGGATGCGGGGGAGGGAATTACAAACCTCTTGGCCCTTAGTATTAGCCCATGCGGTAGGGGCAAAGGCATGCTAGGAGCATGGCAATGTATGGCCCGTTTCATATAAGGGCGGACTTATTAAAGGAGCGATTTCTGATTTTGGCTCATGATGAAAAAAAAAAAAAAAAGGGAGAGAGAGTGAGAGCAAGAAGAAGATGAAGGAGAAGAAGAAGAGAGAAGGAGAGAAAGGGAGATGGAGGCAAAAAAAAAAAAAAAAAAAAAAAAAAGGGGCGAAGATATGTACCGTACGACCCCAATCAATGGCCCTTGCACTCAT